GTACTGAAAAGCACATTAAAAAGCAGAAAACAGTGAGGAAACAAACTCCATATGATCTGATGGTCAACTGTTGATTCAGTATTTTTTTTAATTTAAAAATATATATTTTATAGGCGTTTATAAGAAAAGAAAAGTACTGAATAAACAGTTGCCCATCGCAGAGCATATGGAGCTTGTCTGTTTTCTTGCTTACAAATGGTCCCTCCTTTTTTGCTTCATTTGTCCTAGAGCAGTTGGGATGTCCATGTGTCCTGCTTCACATAAAACATTTCTCTATTTGAAAGTCTCAGGATTGCCCAGTGTTTTAAGGACTGCCCAATGTAAGTCCAATTTGAGAATAAAGAACCTTAAGAATGGGAGCATCAGAGATCTTGAAATTATCAGTCAGCATTTCACCCCAGATGACAGACTGAGCAGATAGGAAGGAATGGAGGTCACTTGGTCAGAGTCTTCACTCTTATGCTGAAAGTTATCTCACCATAGATTTGTGGCACCAAAAGGTCTGTCTTTCTATTTAATTTACAGTGATCTGTGTAGGGGTTTACCATTAACCCACCACTTTCCCATCAAGTGTGAAGTTCTGCCTAAACCTCCATTGTCACCAAATGTGAAGACCTCCACATACCTCACGGTTACCACCAAAAATGAGGGGTTTCCCTTGTCCCCACCTCTGCCACCAAAGTAAGGATCTCCTCCTGTCCTTCTGCTGTGGCCTGTGTGAGGTATCATGCATCTTATATCCCCACCAGACACCATGTCTGAATCCCATCTATATAATATATAGCATTCCCAGAGGCTAAAAGCATACAAAACAATACTTTATTAACCAAAGTTGAACATAATAGAATTTTGTCAGCCCTCCATTTTCAAGGGGGATCTGTTCCGGACACACACACCCTGCGAAAATGGAGATTCGTCAACATTCAAGCCCCATAGGCTTGAATGGGGTACACCCGCAGGGGCGCACCCCATTTATTTTAATGGCGGTCACCCCTCTGTGGATATGCAAAACTGCAGATTTCAAGTCCATGAGCATGGAGGAGTGACTGTAGACTGAATATTTAATACAGTGATTCCCAAATGTCCAGGATTTCAGGACATTGGCCATGGCTTGCTTCCAGATTCTGAAAGTTTCTCAGGCAAAAGGTTCTTAATGTCCCACTTGAGTCAGCTCACCTTCTTTACTGCTGTAGAGAAATTACCTTTGAATTCTACTTCTTTACTGCTGTTGTTCCTGCCAATTTATTTAGTTTTTCTCTGGACTCATTCAACACTTCATCCAGAGCTTGAAAACGTTACTTTTTAAAAGTACAATTCCTAGAATCCCTCAGCCACCTGAGGGATTATAGGATTTGTAATCAAGAAAATGTACATTCTCAGACTTTGGCCATGACACAGGGAAGGAGGGGACAATAAGACAGGCAGAGAAGCAGGGCAGGAAGAGAAAATTGAGGGGGTCTTTTAGCAGAATATGGGTCTTGATAATGGTAGTGGCATCACCCGGGGGGGAGGGGACTTTTAGGGGCCGGGGCCAAAAGGCTGCTGCCTACCTTGGTGCCATGCACCACTATATATATGAGTGGAACAGCATGGGGGTGGGTGGGCATGCTCCCCCCTGCCTTGCACCATTCGATTCATGTGTACAACAGTACATAGAAGGGAGGGGGGCTGGGCACGCTCACTCGCTGGCGTACCCCTGTCAAAACAACGGCAGCGAGGTGAGGGGGCTCTTGGCTCCCTTGGTGCTATTGCTTTATTCTCCTCATTATACTATTCTCATAAGGAGAACAAGGCAATGGCACCCAGGTGGGGTGGGGTGGGTCACCCCTCTTTTTGAGTGTCACCCAATACAATCTGCACCCCCCTAGTGATGCCATTGGATAACTGTCCAACGTCAACCTCTGAGACCTGACTAGAAATACAGTAGTTCACCCTTATCCATTGTTTTGTTCTCCATGGTTTCAGTTACCTGCAGTCATAGAATCATAGATCATAGAGTTGGAAGAGACCACTAAGGGCCA